CACACACACACACACACACACACACACACATTATTCCTTAGCTGAAGTGCTTGGGACCAGAAGTGTTTCAGATCTTGGATTTTCATAAACTTTGTAACATTTGCATGAACATAATGATATAATTTGGGGATGCAACTCAAGTCTAAACACAAAATTCAGTTATGTTTCATCTATACCTTAAACACATAGTCTAGGGATAATTTTGTACAATGTTTTTAGTGTGCTTGCATTTTGACCATGGCCTGTCACATGAGGTCAGGTGTGGCATTTTCCATGGTGTTGTGACAGTACCATGAAATAATGTTTCAAAATTTGGGTCACTTCAGATTAGGGAATTCCAGATTAGGGATCACTAACCTGTATATTTTATGTGTGTAAAAGAAAAAGGCACTGGCTTAGCCACAAAAATATTTGGAATTTGTTTTCTGTATGGATCTCTTTTTCTTTCATTAGCTCATTAAGGCTAAGACTCAAACAGACCTACAAACAAATAGGATGACTCTACTCATAGAAATGTGGAACACTGAAACTTAAGGAAGTCAGTGAACAATTACAGTTTTTTTAAGCCAGATACAATATAATTTCTGATTTTTGCCCATGGTTTTGTGCCATTTTTAACAGATTAAACTTGTTTGATATTGCGCACTACAATTACTGCTAAATGCTGTACACTTAGATTTTTAGTGAATAAATTATTTCTGTTTATTAAAATAAATTTTGTTAAGACATAAAAATTAGTAATCTGAAAATATACTAATACCTAGGCTCTGATTTGTCAATGCTTCCCTCCAAAGGATTAGGATAAATATAATTAGCTGGATCTTCATTTTTGTCAATGGATGTTTCTTGCTTTTTTCTGAAAAAAAAATCATAACATGAAATTTTTTATCACATATCTGAAAAAAGTATCAAAATAGTTGGATCAGAGTACAATACACTTTATACAAGTATTTGGCAATCTCACTCTTCTATATGCAGATATTCAGTTAGCACCATGGGTTTAAAGATGTTTCTTTCACCTTGACTTAGCACCTGTGTCAAAAACACATTTACGGTCTGAGTTTGTTTTCATATTCTCAATTATACCCCATTATCTCCATGTCTATCTGTTTGCTAGTACCACACAGTCTTGATTAATCAGCCTTTGTTGAAACTTTTGAAGTTGAGAGAGTAACTCCTCCAACTCTGCTCTTTCTCAAGAATTTTAAGATCACCTTGTCAACTTCTGAAAAAAAAAATAGGCAATTGGAATTTTGATAGAAATTGCATTGAACATATAGATACTTGTGGTGTAGTGCCACTATTATGGTTTCTACCTTGATGTCCCCCAAGAGCTTCATGTACTCATAGTCAGGGCTTTTGAATGATGAGTGATATAGTTGTTAGGAGCAGAGGTCTAGATGGAAGAAAGTGGTCACTGTGACCGTGGTTTGCAAGAGTATCTCTCCCTCCCACCCTCCTTTCTGTCTCTACTCCATGGCTACCAAGACATGAACAGCTTTTCCTCCACTGTGCCCATCTGCCATAATATCCTGCCTTGGAAACAGCCAGCTATGGACTAAAAACACAAGCCAAAATAAACCTCCCCTCCTTTAGTTGTGGGTAAGAGACATTATGCTTCAGTGATGAGAAAATTACTAAGGCAGTCACTTTAAAATTATTAAGTCTTCCAATCTATTAATATGTGATTTCTATGTGAGATTTATTCAGAGGTTTTTATTCTGTATTTTCAATGAAGTTTTTCAAGCATAAGAGGTTAATAAGAACCCAGGCATAAAGAGTCTAGGAAACTCTCTGAAAAGAAAATAAATGTTCAGAATTGTGTTTACATCCCTCTTCAGGTTGGACGTATATGTGGAAAATGAAATTTCATTGGTTCCAATCCAGGCTTGACTTCATTGCCCTCTTTGCCTCTTTTCTTACAGACACTGGAGCCTCAGAATAAACAATCTTCATGACTGTCCATGCCCATTTCCTTTGGCTTGGCTCTGTCACAGTTCTCTCTTCAGGTCTCCAATTCTCACTCCACACCTCTGGTCTCTAAAATGGCGACAATAGCTTAATTTTGGAGAGGGGCATTACTCAAAGGTATATTACTTCAATGTCTTGTGAATATTGCCGAATTGCTTCCCTATGGGTTATATCAAGTGATAATCTCATATCTTCACCCATATAGCATGATCCACTGTTGTCACTTTCCATTCTTATTAGTCTTTTCCATTATGTTTGCATTATTTGTTCTGATTTGCCCATCTTTCATGTTGCTTGTGCTCTTGAGGTGAATATAATTTTCTTTTTGGACCAGGGATCAAAAGCAGGTCCTTGTGCTTGAGAGACAGGAGGCAGAACCACTGAGCTAAATCCTCGGCCCCTAGGTGAATTTAATTTTTGTGTGTAAACTTATTTTTCATTCCCTTGACTAGTAATGCATTCTGGGTACAGAGTGAAAGCTTTCATTCCTCAGATGGATTGGGAAGGGCAGCTTCATGGAAAAGAGAAGTTGTACATTTGTCATTTGCACTGCATCACTCCTGCTCCCCTCTTCCAACCCCAACTCTTATCCAAATACTTCTCCTTCAGGCTCTGTAGTTATTCTAGGAAGACACCCTTTATTAATTATTGATTATTTATGGTTCTTGGTCCTTGGATGCTTCCACCTCTCTGTCTCTCCTGTGATATTCTGCAGTTTGTATTTGGTGGAGGATGCCAGTAGTCAGTGACAAATTGCCATTGTATATATATATATATATATATATATGATATAGAACTTTATACTAGGATGAATTTATAGCATTAAATACATATATCTTTCTTGAAAAAGAAGAAACATAAAATCAATCATCTGAGCTTCCATCTTAAGAAACAAGGAAAGAAAGCTCAAAGTACACACAAGAAAAGAAGCACTAAAAAATTACAGCAGTAGTTTATGAAATTAAACATCAATACAGAAAGGTTATGAAACCAAAAGATATTACTTTGAGAACATCAATACATCATTTAACATCTAGCCAAACTAAGAAAGAAAAAAAAAGAAAGCAAACACAAGTTACAAATATCAGAATTGAAAGAGAAGACATCACTACATAGACATGGGACATTAAAATGAAAATAAAGGAATATTATGAACAGTTCTATGCCCACAGATCTGACAACCGTATTAGTAAGTTTCTCACTGCTTGGATAAAATACCCAGTATCTATAACTTAAAGGAAGAAAGGTTAACTTTGGCTCATGGTGACAGTCCATGACTGGCTGACTCCAAGGCAGAAACAGCATGGCAGAGGAAAGGTACTCAACCCATGGTAACCAGCAAGCAGAAAGATAAAGGAGAAAAAGAAGCAAGAATACACTCTTTCAGGTAACACCTTCAGTGACTCTCCTCCAGCCAAGACCCACCTTCTAACTGTACATTCAGCTACTGAATTCATCAATGGACAAATTCACTGATGTGTTCAGCATCCCCATGATCTAGTCACCTCCAAAGTCAGGAGACATTTACATGTACATAACAATAACCTAGATGAAATTGGGCAATTCTTTGAAGCTTATAGTCTGCAGAAACTTAGAAGAAATCAAATCAATAATTAATAAGCTTCCAATACAGAAAGCACTGTACCCACATAGATTCACTGAGTTCTTCCAAACATTTAAGAAGAAATTATACTAATTCTCTCCTCTTTTTCCAGAAGATAAAAGCAGAATCTATTTTCTTATTCTGTGACATCAATATCACTCTAATATCAAAAACATACAAAGATGTTACAAGAAAAGAAAACTGTGGGCTAATATCACTCATAAACATAAATGCAAAAATCTTCAAGAAGAGATAGCAAATCAAATCAAAAAATGCATAAAAACAACTATATACTATGACTAACTGGAATTATTCTAGTTATACAAGTTTGGTTCAACATTTAATAATCTATCTGTGTAATATGTCATATTAACAGGTTAAATAAGAAAAGTCACATTAGAAGCAGATAAACCATTTGACAAAAACAAATGCCCATTAATAATACAAACTCTTAGCAAGTAGAGGAACACTCTCAACATGATAAAGAACATCTTTACCACAATACAGTAGCACACACCTATAATCTCAGCACTTGGGAGGCTGAGGCAGAAGGGTTACCAAGTTTTAGCCCCACCTGAGCAAGTTAGTGAGACCTCATATCCAAAAAATTTTTGTTACTGTTTAAAAACAGCTGGGAATGTAGCTCAGTGTTAAGTCCCTGAGTTCAATTTCCAATACAAAAACACACATACACACACACACATACACACAAAAACACTCTACAGATATCATACTTTAACTTTGAGAAACTGGAAGCTTTCCTTCTAAGATAATATAAAGATGTCCTTTCTCACTACTTCTTTCAACATCATACTGTAAGCTCTCATTATTCATACAATAAGATAAGGAAGTAAATAAAATATATTCTACCTGGGAAAAAGGAAATGAAACTGTCTTTTTTTGCAAATGGTGTGGTTTTAGAAAATCCCAAAGAAACAACAAAACTTCTGAAACTAATAAACCAAGGAGTAAAATACGTATAAAATTCAGATGTGCCAGCAACCTGAGCCACACAATGGGAAGTGCCACCAGCCACATGTGTAGATTCCAAGTCCTGGCCATGACCACTCACCAACTCCTGGCTAGCTTGGCATTTTGTTTTCACTCAACACGGGGCAACCCAGTAGCTACCAACCAACCAATCTGATCATGGATGAAGCCAAAGCCCTTGGAAAGAAGTGAAGAATCTGAAGTCTTCTAACTTTCATCCCAGAAATTCACAAAACCAAGAGACCTACATGGGAGGAGCAGCCCTCCTCCCTAACACAAACAAGCAGGTCCCTAATGCAAGGGCAAAGCACCCTCTGATGTAAGGGCATGACCATCCACCAGCTCCAAGTCAGCCCTACCTTTTGTTTCCTCATGGCTTTTGCACAGCAGAGATGAGAACTAACCACTGGCATAATCCTGAATGAAGACAATGCCAGGGATAAAAGGAAGCAACTGGACCCCACAAATGTGGACATTAAATCCAACAGCACACTCAAACCCCTGACCTGTAACCTACATACAACAGAGACCAGAGGGTTGATCGCATTCCTAATCTGCCAACAGGAGCAAGGACATGCCTTGGCTTGGGCAGAATAAACAAATAAACATAAAACAAATAAACAAAAAAAATAGACACATAAGAAGACAAGCCAAAAATGCCTCCCAAAACTTCCATTGAACATTGAAGTGGAGAAACCAAAGGCTTCACATCCAGATTATGTGAAAATATGAGTAGAAAAATATTGGGCCAATTAAACAAAATCATCAGCAGTCTAAAGAAAACACATAAAAAGATAGAATAGCTAAACAAAATGATATAAAACATGCATGACCAACATAGAAAAGAGTTAGAGACCACAAAATGGATCAATGAGAAATTCAGGAAATCAAAAGTTCCATTGAAAGTATGGGTATCTGAATTAGCCAGTATGAGAACAGTCTCAGCAATAGAAGACAAGACTGTTGTTGGTGACTAATTAATAAGAGATGTCTTTAAAACAAGAGAACATAAAAATTACATCCAGCAGCTGCTAGATGACTCAAAGAAGCCTTATATAAGAGTAATTAGAATTAGAAAAAAATCAGAAAATAAAATAAATGGTATTTTTTAAAACCGGTGCACTGAAATAATAGCTGAAAACTTTTCAACTAAAGTAAAAGAATTCAACATTCAGATAACTGAGGCATATAGAATCCTAAATAGTCATGATCAGAAAAGAATTTCTCCACAACACATCCTAGAAGTCCAACACAAGAATAGAATCTTAAAATTGGGTAGAGGGGCAACCCAC